TGATATTGTTATCGTTCATGGAGCGAGGTATTGAAGTACGGACACAAAGAGAAGTACAACGGTTCGAAGGTGTGACATTGTTATCGTTCATGGAGCAAGGTATTCAAGTACGGACACAAAGAGGTCACGCCATTGCCAGCCTTCTGTGGCCTCTCATTCCGATGGATAGTCGATGGGTTCCGAGGAAAGGCGAAAGGAAAATGAAATGACCACCTTTAAGAGGTGGCAAGCCCTGGGTTGCAAGCATCATGTATCGTGAAGCTGCTGTTGAAGGCAACATATGGCGGTGATGACACCCCAACACATGAAACCAGGAGCCACCGATAGGTTACCTTCATATTTGGGGAAGTGTCACGTGTAGTCCCCACGTCGTTACGGGCCATCTGACATGTCGCGTNTCTGTGGCCTCTCATTCCGATGGATAGTCGATGGGTTCCGAGGAAAGGCGAAAGGAAAATGAAATGACCACCTTTAAGAGGTGGCAAGCCCTGGGTTGCAAGCATCATGTATCGTGAAGCTGCTGTTGAAGGCAACATATGGCGGTGATGACACCCCAACACATGAAACCAGGAGCCACCGATAGGTTACCTTCATATTTGGGGAAGTGTCACGTGTAGTCCCCACGTCGTTACGGGCCATCTGACATGTCGCGTACGTACATACAACCAACTCGCGCGTCGTGCAGGCGACACCACGAGTCTCATGTAACAAACCAACTGCAAACCGGACCCAACGCTCCGTAACATGCACCAATCCAACTGAGCGACTCGAACACGCAGAGAGTGTCGCAAACTAGGGCGTCGGAGTCGGCACTGTTCCCGCATAACACGGAGATCAACTCTCCCTTACCGGTAAGTTCGTTGCCCTTGAGCCAGAGCTGTTCCAACTTGCCGAGACCTCCAAGCTCTCTCGGGATGGACCCTGCAAAAATCGAAAGAGCCAAATGGTGATCTCGTTATTGTAGATCGCCGCTGGTGGGCGCGGCGTGGCGAAAAGGTATGATGCGGCCGGCTGGTTGAACATCGGTCCGACCTACCGCGTGGGCGAGACACGAAAGAAATCAATCTTCGCACGCCATCCTATCTCACCAGTGAGCTTGTTGTCGTGCATGGCAAGCGTCTTCAGCTCGCTGAGAGCTCCAAGCGCCTCGGGAATGGACCCTGCACGAGACAAAAGCACAATGAGCCGCATTGCCTGGTCAAATTGCAAATGTAACGCAGGACATGATGTGTCGCCCACGCCTTGTGTGTACTGAACGGAGGTGCTCCACAACCTAGCCAAACTGTTTTCCAGAAGCCACAAATGTTTCCCCGCTCAGAAGAGATGAGGCCATTCTCTTCAAGGGTATCGGTTCTGGTTCTAGGGGTACAGATGAAGGGCGCTACAATGCGGTGCTCTAAATCACGCAAGGCTCTACCTTCATCATATATTCGGGAATTGTGAGGTTGGTATCGTCCCGAAGAAATGCTTGGAAGGTCATGGACGCTCGTGTACGTTCATGCTAGCTAAACACGGGAGCAAACGGCGTCAATTCGCATCAATCAACATAGGGAAGATCACCCAATGAATGACAACTCGATGCCGACACCAAGCAGATGGGACAGCAAGGGCGAATTCACAACCCGGACTAGACATTGCAATACCGTGGAGGTTGTTGTTCGGCAGGGACAGCCCCACCACACGGCCCGCGTGGTTAAGTCTGACCCCCTCCCAACTAGCTAGCCCCGCGTCCGTGTTCCAGTTGCTTTTCCTTTTCCAATTTGCTCCATCAGTCGAATGAAACAACGCAATCAGCGCGGCACGATCCATGGAAGACATCTGCTCCGGGCGGCTGCGTCGGAATGCCTCCGCGAGAAAATCCATGGAAGACACCTGGTCCGAGGGGCTGCTTTCGATTGCGCGAGGGCAAAAAGGAAGATACCTGCGACGAGAGGGAGACAAAGGGACAAAACAAAAGACGCGAGTCACAGTGGCTTCAATTCCTGTGGCCTGACTTCCGGGATGCCAAATCGTATGGAGCTCGGCTACATGACAGCGGCTATGTTGCGACGAGGTTCAGCGGGGAAACTCGTTCAACCTTCTGGCTCTAGATCATGGGACCAAATCTGCCGAGGGTGACCAAACGTACAGCAACAAAGAAGTGAAAAGCGCATAGTAGCGAGGACATCAAACAATACGGGAGGGGCTGCTGAACCCTTCTCGCGTGATAAATGAAGTCAAGGGACACCGAAGGAGGAAAGATGAACATACAGCCAGCCTCGTGTGTGAGCCGATCGGGTCCTCAAGTAGATCTACTGGATGGCTTGGACTGGCGCCCAGAACAGATGGTACGAAACAAACCAACGTGAAGAACGCGGGGCATAATTCCTTTGACATCTTCGGTGGATTCCTCTCAATGCGGCCGATGCAAGCTGCCTCCACAGTGAGATTCCTCGTGCAAGACGACTTCAGTCAGGACAGGGGGGTCGGATTCTCTTCGTAAAAATGAGTTCCACGTCACGCAACAAATGGTTCCGGCCGGTTTCGCCACCATGCAGCACGAATCGATTTCAGCGTAATCGACTCGTCACCACAAAGCATGCACTCGTGGGTGTGCATTTGAGCAAACATGAACCAGGTACGTATTCTGTGCGATCACATTGGGCTGCGTAAGTGCACCTAAGGTTCGATGTTAATCGCGCATGTTCTTACGGGTGACCAATGGGCGCCTGGGGGTATGGTGGGTGTGGACCTTAGAACCTGATCATCTGTTTGTTCCGTGCATTCGACTTTCACCACAAGACGGGTGTCGGAAGCATCGTAGCAGCAGGACAGAGGGAAATCTACCATCACGCTGCTGTTGTTGCTTGGCGTACGTACACGTAGATCGTCCGTTTGTGGACGAGGGGCCAATGGGGTGCCTTGCGTGTGGGCTTACAACCCAAGACCCACTTGTTCGTTGCGTGTGATCGACCATCACCACAACAGTCTCACTTCCCTCGAAAACTTGCTAAACATTGCAATGAAGTGTGCCCCACTTGGAGGCCGAGGGTACCTTACGCGTTTGCGTCGGTGATGGGGTTGAAACGCGGTAGCCATCATTTGGTGGGGTGAAGTGAGCATGCCACTTTCCAACGCTCCACCAAACCCACATTCTGAGCCCGCTCGGCCTGTGGTGGGTGCACAACATTCTGCCACGCGCGGGCTCGCGCAAAAATCGGCTTGCCGAAATTGCACATCATGAGCGAAAGAAATGTTTCATGATCGAAAGAACCCTCTACCGCGTCGCGAAAGAAAGTTCTTCGCGTCATAGATGGGGTCCTATCGACTGCATCCTCTGCTGGTAATGCAGAAGCTGCACATACTCAAGCAGGGACTCACTCCCCGGAGTGTTTATCACAAAGTTAAGCATCATCGGCTGGGACCGAAGGCATCGTGTGGTGGTTGTGTGGTTTCCTTCCGTCCACTCTGTTGTGGCGCCAGTCTACGCCTTTCGGTACACCTGGTACATTTCACGCACAAGCCAGGGTCACACCGGAGGCAGGTAAACAAACGGATCTGTTTGTACTGCTGTTGCTCTGTATTCCCTCCGCGGTGCTTTCCTCCAAGCTTCAACGCGAGAAGAGTTTGCTTTCACTCACGACTGCGCGGTTGAGGTTGCAATTGGGATACAGACTTTTGAATTCGGCCTGCAAATCATCACCATTTGAGCCCTTCTGAAACTCCACGACCCTGACACTCGTAGGGCGCTCTTGCAGTTCCAGCGCCACTCGCCGATAGGACGGGGTCCTCGATCCATACAAGAACACAATGGGTTCCTCGCTACATACCTACAGAAAACGTCGGGTATAGTCGTGCGATGACTGTTATCCGTTAGGCAAGAATCGCCGCGCGATCCCTGCACCGGAAAAACATATAGCCCCAACGGCCAATGGCAAACATGCATCCAGGTCGCACCGGTGGTGTAAAAAATGCGCAACCTCGCCTACGCTACTGTTTAACAGCAGGTTGCGTCATGGGTTCGCATCTCTCTCGGGAGTGAAAAGATTGCAATTTCAGGTCGGAAAGCGACTACTTACTTGGTGAGGCAAGGACTGCTGTTGCACCCTTCATCTCGCGTCAAAATGCGACGGCAGGGACCGCAATTAAGGGCGCGTTTTGGAAAGAGAAAACATTACCTGCCTGTGTGACCCCGACTGGTACGCCGTCTTTTTTTACTTTGTTATCCAGTTTATTCTGGAGGGTAATCTTACGCCTTATCAGCCTCACACCGGAGAAGGCGACACGGGAGTTTTTTCTCCGCTCTCTGTGCTTGCCTTGCTTAGTTGATTAATTAACCCTTGTCGCGGGAAGATTCAGCCGCTTGTCCTTTCCCTCGTCGACCGTCAAGTCAAATATTTGAGTGCACACAAGAGGTTATCGATCTCCACAACTCTCCTATCGCATGTTTGAGAAATAATGAAATAAATTCCCAGTGTTCGTGTGACCGCTGTGGCGAGATCAATCCCACGTCATCGTCAGCAGTCAGCTGGTGGGTGAGAGAAGGTCAAGGTTGNCCTTGCTTAGTTGATAAATTAACCCTTGTCGCGGGAAGATTCAGCCGCTTGTCCTTTCCCTCGTCGACCGTCAAGTCAAATATTTGAGTGCACACAAGAGGTTATCGATCTCCACAACTCTCCTATCGCATGTTTGAGAAATAATGAAATAAATTCCCAGTGTTCGTGTGACCGCTGTGGCGAGATCAATCCCACGTCATCGTCAGCAGTCAGCTGGTGGGTGAGAGAAGGTCAAGGTTGTTGTTGTTGTCGTCGTTGTTGTTTTTCTTCGCATTAACTCGTGTCAGTTGCTAATCCCAAAANTCAGCAGTCAGCTGGTGGGTGAGAGAAGGTCAAGGTTGTTGTTGTTGTTTTTCTTCACGTTAACTCGTGTCAGTTGCTAATCCCAAAATCTAGCAAAGACTCGGTCCGTGGTCACAAAA